TGTCAGAGATGATGAGGATGATGGACAGGGTTCAGGTCAGCTGTTCATAGGGTTACTATGAGTTGTACTGGACAGCGCCTAACAACAAAATCCACTTGGAATATCTGTTATTGCAGTATGACAAACCTAAAGCAGTATTACAGTTAATTAATGCATAGTTTTTTGTATGATTAACATGTTGCTGCACACTTTTTAAATCGGCGACCATGCTTAGAAACACATTTGCTGTCATTTGTGGCAACGTGTTAAGTATGTTATTTCCCTTCCTTAGGCCTCATTATCTTACTTTCTCTGGATGAGTTGTCAGAATGACCCAGTTCCAGAATGTTAGGATTTATCTTATTTCTATATCAATAAATTGAGTAATTTCAGGATTGACCTAATAGCATATTTTTCTCTGGTTGAAGCTGATGGCCCAGTACATTTCCTTTTAATGACTTTTCTTCAGAGAAAAGTGACTTATAGTAATGGAGTAATGAGAGCAACAGTGAAATTGCTTGGAGTAATCAGGGCAGTGAGGTATACCGGGGGGGGGGGGGGTGTACAATAAAACTCACAAGAGTAGACTGAACACTGAGACATGTAGAATCTAATCTTATGTAATGGTTAACTCCCTCAGGGGCTTGACTGATCACTTGATCTTCTAGGCCTTAGTTTTCACATTTGTGAAAGCAGATTTTGAACTGTCATCTCTTAAGATCTCATCCCAACTATGCAGTTCCAGAATCAATTCCTGGAATAAATGTTGTTAGGTGTTGTCATTGAGTCTGACTCATGACCACCCTATTGCATCATCCTCACAATCTCTGCTGTTAAAACCACTATTGTACCTACTGTGTCAGCCCATCTCATTCGGAGTCTTCAGCTTTTTCAGTGACCCTCTCTAAAAAGCAGAATGTCATTCTCCAAGGGTTGGTCTTCCTAATAGTATGTATTGTTGTTGTTGTTAGGTGCCGTTGAGTCACTTGCAACTCATAGTGACCCTATGTACAACAGTCCTAAACCCTGCTCTATCCTGTGCCAATCTCATTGCCTCTGACACACCAATCCTGATTACCTCAGTCACTGAATCAATCCACCTCATAGAGGGTCTTCCCCTCTTGTGCCATCCCTCCACCCTCCCAAGCATTATGTCCCTTTCCAAGGACCTGTCTCTCATTACAACATGTCCAAAGTATGTCAGAGGAAGCCCCAGAATCCTTGCCTCCAAGGAGCAGCTGGATTTAACCCTCTCTAGGATTAATCTGTTTATTTTCTTGGCAGTCCATGGTACATTCAATACTCTTCTCCAGCACCACAGCTCAAAGGC